TTTTTTTTTTGTTAACCATGGTCAATTTTGAAAAAGTTGGTATGATTAGTTGTTAGTGAGATTTGAGTTTATATTAAAACATTATTGAAAATAAAATAATTAAACTTAAATTGATATAAAAGTATGAGACATATGATAAAAAGTAACAATTAGTTAAAATTATGTGAGCGGATAAATATTGAATTAAAGTTGACGTGGCATCTAAGAATGACTGGTTGATCTTTTATTGAATTGTATTGGTAAAAATGAGAATAGTGTGGTTGAATTAAATTTGAGTTAAATTTTGAGTATGAATGAAATAATTGATAAGCAAAACACCCCTAATATAATACATGTTTGTACCATATTGCCATTATTATTTTAAAATGGACTTAATTATAGTTCTTCCTTGAAAGTCTTTAAATCCTGAGAAGTAGATCTTATCATGTATAAAAACTATAGCTTTTACCTTTTTGACAAAATGGTTAACCTATAAAAAAAATTGATAAGCAAAATGGCAAATGAAATGATTGGGATATCTTTTATCTTTAATTCAATCACAGATCTTGCTTTAGTTGATTTGTTTTGTAGTTTATTATATTAAAAAAAATATATATTTACTCAATCGTTTCCTCTTGCTTTTTTAGATCTGTGTCTTTTTTATTCTTGCTTTTGGTTTTTCATCTAATTGTTGTCCAAATCGAGATTCTACATTTGCCATCATCTTCTATTTGCATCTAACCAAGTTGATTTATCAAATTATTGGTTGTTGGTAGAATACCTTTCGTAAATTATGCAAATTATAGTTATTATTATAGGGTGATCCTACAGTTTCGTGACGGAACCAGTCCTTCGAGGTCTGTAACCGTTAGATCAATTATCCACGACGTTAAATAGATGATATGACGGCTACAATTCCCCACATAATAGTTTCGTAACAGGATTATATACATAAATGGTCATATGTTGACTTCAGTTTGACCGGTGTCACAAGGTTTTGGTGCAGTGGACCCTCGCGTATGAAAGAATCTCCGCAATAGCCGGTGCCATTAGCGGCTGTGATCTTATTAGATTATCAGGGTTCCATGATAAGATCGTGCGGCTTACCATAGAATGCTTATTTTATTTCCTTTTGTTTTTTTTTTTCTTCTTCATACGCTTTCTTTAGCTATTATCTGGGGAAGGGTAATATATGTTGCCGACATGCTTTGCTTAATCAAGCCTCTAAATTTAATCGGATAACAAACGCCATTTTTTTTACTCTTATAAGTAATCAACGTTAGATTAATTTTAAATTGTTGTTCAAGCCATTACTTAATTACTTAATTGAAGACATAATGCGAGGATCGCATTTTTGCACGATTAATAATAATAATAATAATAATAATAATAATAATAATAATAATAATAATAATAATAATAATAATAATAATAATAATCTGG